TTGTTTGTTTGTTTGTTTCTTTCTTTCTTCCTATATAATGTTTTCTTCCTTTCCCTTTTTCTTTCATTTGATTTTTATTTTTTTTATTTTAATTTCTTTTCTTTTCATTATAATTCTTTCTTTCTTAACTTTTTTCTTTCTTTCTTTCTTTCTTTCATCCATTCTTTCCTTTTCTTTTTCTTTCTTTCTTTTCTTTCTTTTTCTTCTCATCCATATAACTATTCCTTTTCTTTTCTTTCTTCCATTTCTTTCTTTCTTTTTCTTTTCTTTTCTTTCTTTCTTTCTTCTCATCCATATAACTATTCCTTTTTCTTTCTTTCTTTCTTTCTTTCTTTCTTTCTTCCTTTTCATTATTATATTTTTCCTTCTATATTTTCTTTCTTTCTTTCCTTTTTTCTCTCTCTATTCTATTTTATATTCTATCTATAATTTATTTCTATTATAATATTTGTTTGTTTGTTTGTTTGTTTCTTTCTTTCTTTCTATAATAATGTTTCTTTGTTTCCCTTTTCTGTTCATACGATTTTATATTCTTTGTATATTAATTTCTTTCTTTCTATTATAATTCTTTCTTTCTTTCTTTCTTTCTTTCTTTCTTTCTTTCTTTCTTTCTTTCTTCTCATCCATATAACTATTCCTTTTCTTTCTTTCTTTCTTTCTTTCTTTCTTTCTTTCTTCTCATCCATATAACTATTCCTTTTCTTTCTTTCTTTCTTTCTTTCTTTCTTTCTTTCTTTCTTTCTTTCTTCTCATCCATATAACTATTCCTTTTCTTTCTTTCTTTCTTTCTTTCTTTCTTCCCTTTTCATTATTATATTTTTTCCTTCTATATTTTCTTTTCTTTCTTTCCTTTTTCTCTCTATTCTATTTTATATTCTATCTATAATTTATTTCTATTATAATATTTGTTTGTTTTGTTTTGTTTGTTTCTTTTCTTTCTTTCTATAATAATGTTTCTTTGTTTCCCTTTTCTTCCTGTTATATGATTTTATATTCTTTGTATATTAATTTCTTTTCTTTTACATTATAATTCTTTTCTTTCTTTCTTTCTTTCTTTCTTTCTTCTCATCCATATAACTATTCCTTTTTCTTTCTTTCTTTCTTTCTTTCTTTCTTTTCTTTTTTTCTTTCTTTCTTCTCATCCATACTCTTATTCCTTTTCTTTCTTTCTTTTCTTTCTTTCTTTCTTTCTTTCTTTTCTTTTCTTTTTTTCTTCTCATCCATATAACTATTCCTTTTCTTTCTTTCTTTCTTTCTTTCTTTCTTTCTTTCTTTTTTTTTCTTTCTTTCTTCTCATCCATATAACTATTCCTTTTCTTTCTTTCTTTCTTTCTTTCTTTCTTTCTTTCTTTCTTCTCATCCATATAACTATTCCTTTTCTTTCTTTCTTTTCTTTCTTTCTTTCTTTCTTTCTTCTCATCGCTATACCTGTTCTTTTTCTTTCTTTCTTTCTTTCTTTCTTTCTTTCTTTCTTTCTTTCTTTCTTTCTTTCTTCTCATCGCTTACTTGTTCTTTCTTTCTTTCTTTCTTTCTTTCTTTCTTTCTTTCTTTCTTTCTTTCTTTCTTTTCTTTCTCATCCATATAACTATTCCTTTTCTTTCTTTCTTTTCTTTCTTTCTTTCTTTCTTTTTTTTTCTTTCTTTCTTTCTTCTCATCCATATAACTATTCCTTTTTTTCTTTCTTTCTTTCTTTCTTTCTTTCTTTCTTTTTTTTTCTTTCTTCTCATCCATATAACTATTCCCTTTTCTTTCTTTCTTTCTTTCTTTCTTCCTTTTCATTATTATATTTTTTCCTTCTATATTTTCTTTTTCTTTCCTTTTTCTCTCTCTATTCTATTTTATATTCTATCTATAATTTATTTCTATTATAATATTTGTTTGTTTTGTTTGTTTTGTTTCTTTCTTTCTTTCTATAATAATGTTTCTTTTTTTTTCCCTTTTCTGTTCATTCGATTTTATATTCTTTGTATATTAATTTCTTTCTTTCTATTATAATTCTTTCTTTCTTTCTTTCTTTCTTTCTTTCTTCTCATCCATATAACTATTCCTTTTCTTTCTTTCTTTCTTTCTTTCTTTCTTTCTTTCTTTCTTTCTTTCTTTCTTTCTTCTCATCCATATAACTATTCCTTTTCTTTCTTTCTTTCTTTCTTTCTTTCTTTCTTTCTTTCTTTCTTTCTTCTCATCCATATAACTATTCCTTTTCTTTCTTTCTTTCTTTCTTTCTTTCTTTCTTTCTTTCTTTCTTTCTTTCTTCTCATCCATATAACTATTCCTTTTCTTTCTTTCTTTCTTTCTTTCTTTCTTTCTTCCTTTTCATTATTATATTTTTCCTTCTATATTTTCTTTCTTTCTTTCCTTTTTTCTCTCTCTATTCTATTTTATATTCTATCTATAATTTATTTCTATTATAATATTTGTTTGTTTGTTTGTTTGTTTGTTTCTTTCTTTCTATTATAATGTTTCTTTGTTTCCCTTTTCTGTTCATACGATTTTATATTCTTTGTATATTAATTTCTTTCTTTCTATTATAATTCTTTCTTTCTTTCTTTCTTTCTTTCTTTCTTTCTTTCTTTCTTTCTTTCTTCTCATCCATATAACTATTCCTTTTCTTTCTTTCTTTCTTTCTTTCTTTCTTTCTTTCTTCTCATCCATATAACTATTCCTTTTCTTTCTTTCTTTCTTTCTTTCTTTCTTTCTTTCTTTCTTTCTTTCTTTCTTCTCATCCATATAACTATTCCTTTTCTTTCTTTCTTTCTTTCTTTCTTCCTTTTCATTATTATATTTTTCCTTCTATATTTTCTTTCTTTCTTTCCTTTTTTCTCTCTCTATTCTATTTTATATTCTATCTATAATTTATTTCTATTATAATATTTGTTTGTTTGTTTGTTTGTTTCTTTCTTTCTTTCTATAATAATGTTTCTTTGTTTCCCTTTTCTGTTCATTCGATTTTATATTCTTTGTATATTAATTTCTTTCTTTCTATTATAATTCTTTCTTTCTTTCTTTCTTTCTTTCTTTCTTTCTTTCTTTCTTTCTTCTCATCCATATAACTATTCCTTTTCTTTCTTTCTTTCTTTCTTTCTTTCTTTCTTTCTTTCTTTCTTCTCATCCATATAACTATTCCTTTTCTTTCTTTCTTTCTTTCTTTCTTTCTTTCTTTCTTTCTTTCTTTCTTTCTTTCTTCTCATCCATATAACTATTCCTTTTCTTTCTTTCTTTCTTTTCTTTCTTTCTTTCTTTCTTCCTTTTCATTATTATATTTTTCCTTCTATATTTTCTTTCTTTCTTTCCTTTTTTTCTCTTTTTATTCTATTTTATATTCTATCTATAATTTATTTCTATTATAATATTTGTTTGTTTGTTTGTTTGTTTCTTTCTTTTCTTTCTATAATAATGTTTCTTTGTTTCCCTTTTCTGTTCATTCGATTTTATATTCTTTGTATATTAATTTCTTTCTTTCTATTATAATTCTTTCTTTCTTTCTTTCTTTCTTTCTTTCTTTCTTTCTTCTCCAAAATTCTCGTATCTTTTTGTTTTTTCCGTCATTTCCTTCCTACCCTGTCCTTTCTTTCTTTCTTTCTTTCTTTCTTTCTTTCTTTCTTTCTTTCTTTCTTTCTATTACATTTGCATGAAAAGGCCTTATAGATGTAAATTCATAGAAAAAATTGCTAACCTCGAGATCTGGCGCTACAAATCGTAAACAAAGTAATGTAGCAAAAAAAAAAAAAAAAAAAAAGAAAAGATAAAGAAAAAAAAGCACATTACTTGAAGACTTACAGCAGCGGTAACAACTAAAATGGATAGCCCAAAGAGAGAATAATGATATAATCACGGTTTACACACTACTTTGAACAAAAGGTTAGGAAGAAAATGCTGGCATTGCTTCCCAATAGTTTTTGAAACAAAAAAAAAAAATTAGATAGCAGACCTTCTCAAACTTTCTTCAAACACTAAAACAGTTCACGTTTGCGTTTTGGGTATTCTCTTTGAACTCTTCTATGGAATTCATCCCCATGTTAATTTAGTGAGAGAGAAGTCAGGAGCCGTAAAGTCATAATTTTAAAAATTCTGTTCCTATTTTTCGACTCAGAGGCAATTTTGGCATAATTTAGAAGTGTTTTGGATATTTGTTTTGTTGAAAGGTGATTTTTCCCCAACTATGCGTAAACCAGATGGTATCGTATATCTTTACAAAATCGAATGATATTTTTATTTTCTGATTCCCTTGACCTGAATCAAATCTCCAGCCCAGTATAAATAATGAAAGACGATTGTGTTGTTCCAACAGTTAAGCATGGTGGCGGGTTTTGTTATGGTGTGTGGGTGTTTTTGTGGGAGATAGGGCTGGAGATTTGATTCAGGTCAAGGGAATCATGAAAAAAAAAAAAAACCCAAAAAACAATATCATTCGGGTTTTCTAAAGATATGCGATTCCATTGAATCACCTTTCAACAAGACAGCGATCCAAAAGACTTCTAACTTACGTCAAAATTATCTCGAATCCCAAAATAGGAAAAGAATTTTTAAAATAAACTAAATAAAACACATTGAGCTATTTTGTAGATGAGTTTTTTTCATATGACTAGGATCCACTTGATTTATATACCAAAGGATTATTTACCTCTCTCTCTCTCTCTCTCTCTCTCTCTCTCTATATATATATATATATATATATATATATATATATATATATATATATATATAAACCTTTATACCTGTAGTATATATATATATATATATATATATATATATATATCTCCAAGTATAGGATTGGTGTGTACGGAATAAATTCCAATAAGC